TGGCCGAGTGTGTATATGTGTGTGTATAGAAAGAAAAAGAACCTCGCAAAGATCCATAAAGTTCAAATCGTAAAAAATAAATAAATAATTCTGAAAAGGGCCAACTGCAACATGCTTTGGAACTGCAGTCACACTGTTTATTAATGGCAGAAACCCAAAAGGAAAGAGAAAATTCGATTACTTTTACCATTCGGCGGGCCTGTTCATCTGCCATCCCAGCACCAAAAACTGAGTCCTTGTTGTCCTTCACTGCTGATCAATCTCTAATGCTGCATGAACGTACACAATGAGAGGGTGTAAAAGCGAACAAGGAAGAGATAAAAAAGAGAGAGATGGTGTTACTGTCAGGGAAAAGGACAGGCGAGAAAATGCAGTTTTTTTTTCTTTTTTCTTTGTATGAATTAAGTTAAAATGACCGGATTGGTTGACAGAACGGTGGATCGACTCTCACATTATCTTGCGTGAATTAAAAAATGCCGACTCCTATGTATATGTTCGGTCATTCTCTATGTTAGTATAGCAAAATCCCTTTTTTTTTAATACCGAACTTGATTGTATTAAATAGTATCATTTATGAGGCGTTGAAAAATGACGCATAAGTTGAATTATTTCAGAAATCACTATTAATAATCACCTAAAATTAAATTTTTAATGATCACACAAAATTGATACTTTCTTAAACTTTAATCCAGTGTTTTAAAATACGTATTCAAATTTTACGAACTTAAGCAAGCATAGGGGAGATTTAAGTGTAAAAAATCATTTTTTTATAAAACTATTTTTAATTTTTAATCATTTTAAAAATTATTTAGCCCTTATTTCAGCCCCTTTTTTCATCAAAATATATTTGTCAACGGTGATTTGATATCATCTCAACTACACATTTTTTAATAAAATAATATTGCACCCAAATTCAAAATTTTTCCTTATTTTTTAACTACACATTCTCTAGCATAACACTAAGCAGCAAATAGCATATTTCTAGCCTGCATATTCGTGGAGTCACCATTGATATCGACATATTTGAGATCGCCAAATGTTCGGAAGTTCATCTATTCAATCCAGCACACTCCCCACTTCAAGCGCACCTCTATATCGATTGAATCAAATGAGATTATTCGGGAATACACATTGAATGCGAAGTCGAGTGCTACCACTGAGCTTTGAATGGGTCTCCCCCTTCCGATGAGCATCATCTGAAGCAGCAACCTCGATTTGAAACCTTCAAAATGCAATTTTTAAGAAAATTGGGGCTCAAACAACCTCTTAATAATTAAAATAATGCATATTAAATACTTAAAATTCTAAAATATGATATTTACTTAATAAATCTTACCATTAGTCAATTATACAATTATCAAGTTTTCAAAATGCAAATATTAGAATTTTTTCATAGTTTCAATTTCAACTAGACAAATCCTACTTAATAGATTGATAGAAACTTCATATATGCTTATGAAGTTTGTAATAAAATGAGTTTTAAGATCAGAATTACATAATGTAAATAATGCAAAAACTTAAATCTTGTTTAACTATTTAGATAAAGTCAATTTTAACTTTTATATGGATAAAATATTTTAAAAACTTGAAATTGAAGTCAAATGAATTTTTTTTTTAATAATAATAAACTAAAGTCAAATAAAAGACTTGAAAAAAATTAATAAAGTGCATTTATGAAAGAAGAAAAAATGAAGGAAAAAATTAAGCCGTTTAGGAATTGGAAAAAAAGGTCTAGACGCGAAGCGACGCATTATGCCCGAACTTCAAGCTTAGGCGATGAGTTATTTAGATCACTGCTTTAATCGTTACGCGAAAACTGACCAAAAGGCCATAATTGAATTCAATTTTACTCTCCTATATGCAAAAAATTTCGTGAAGGACTCAACTTATATGTTTGTACAACGTGGCCCGCCCGTCTAGTCAAGGCTTTTGTGGAGATGAGATAGAGGTGAAGATTAAAATATTTTTCATTTTCTGTCCTATTTTCTTTTACACGCAAGACTGGAGGGAGTGGGAGCAAGGGTGGACCATTTTGTAATTCCTAATTTTATTTATAACGGTTATGAAGACGATGTTAAGTCTTGTATGATTGATTGAATGTACATTCGAACATTTGTGTTACATTAAATTACTTGTTAGTATTTCATAAGAATTCAAAAATGTTCGATAGAGTTGAGGCAGAATCAAGGTTGATAAAATTTTAAATAAG